CATGGCCATTAATTACGTGCATCGCTCATACAAAATGGCGAATTATAATTAGAATGCAACATCAGCCAAAAACTAAATTCCAAATAAATTCGAGTAAATTTTTCAGGAAAAATTTCTCTTATCTTCCCGGCTTTACTTTTTTCCTGTTTTTGTAACATACTTTTAGCTGTTTCACTTATTTCCACAAATATTTTTTGCTTACATTAGTTTTACCACTGCGTTGAAATAGTTTAAATGCGGCGTATGCTTGAGTATGAGTGTGTGTGTGTTTTGGCATGTGGCTGCGGCTTGTTGCAGCTGTGTTGCGCTGCACAAAGTTTCTCAGCCAGCTAGGCCATAAGCGTGGGTGGCCAACAACGAGGCAAGCGGGCGGCCGGGTGCGTTGGTTAGAGCAAAATTCAGTCACTAATTATTGTTATTATGCTTTTTCTACAAACGTAATAATAAAAATATTCCATCTTGGCCAGCAGAGGGTCGAGGCGGGCAGTGTAAGCGCAGATGCTTGGTGGAGCTTGCACTAATGCAGGACGGCATTGCAATGTTTTCTCAACAAATGTTCCTGCCGTACACCACATTGTTGTTGTTCTTGTTTTAGTGTTAGTGCTACGTTGTAGCAATTTTGTTTGTCTGCGGTTATATCTTGCCGTGACTTGTTTTTATTTTGTTGCTAAATCACGTTTTTTTATTTCATTGTGGTTCTTAATTTTATTTTTGTTGTTGTTTTTCTGCGTTTCACGCTATCGTTTTTCTTCCTGCTTGGTTGTTTTGCAGCAGCTAGCTTTGCGAGCTGCCACATTTCAGTGCCATACGGCCAAACAGTAGTTGCATGTTAGGACAGTGTGTCGTTTGTTGCATAATCGGAAGTCTAGTAAAATTGCTTAGTAGAAAGAAAACCGTAATTTTTAATTTAATTAGTTTAATACAGCATAGTTAGAATGATCTGATTTAGATTTAATATGCACCGTTTTTTTTTGAATAACGTGTTGCCATTTTGAAGTTTATTTCATAAGGCCACTCTTAAAAGTATAGAAACCCTCGGCGCCCTTATCAGCATTTTCATAAGCTTCGCTTCTGGTGAATTTTTCACAAGGAAAATCATTCGCCATAGACAGGCCCTGGTTCTTGCTTGTTTGCCAAGTCCGGATTATAGTTGGATGCATAAGAATCTCACAATCTAGCTACCAAAGTTTCTAGCGAGTCACTATCGATGTGCTTGGCCGGGTATTGTGCTGATGGTACACAATTATTCACCTATCGCCCAAAGCTGGCCCCTTCTGAGCATTTACATCCTTTAGGCGATCCAATTTTTGACAGTACGGATCCGCATTGAGAGTTTGGCAGTAGAGGAGCAGCTCTTAATAGATAATGTTCACTGGGAAGACTGAAAGTGTTAGCAGCAAGACGGGCTTGAACCAAGTATTGTGGTGATTCAAGCTCGTCTTTTTTCAGCTTAAATCAAAGAGCTAGAGCCCTAAACCTCTTATGATTTACATAAGTTCAGAGGATTTTGTGTCTGTACACTTGTTACTAGGTGATATTCCAACTATAATCTTACAAATATTCATCTAGAAATTCGCACGTGATAGAACCTTTTGCCATATTCTTTAAATATCTTCAAATTACTAATGGTTCTTCTTTAGGTTCACTGCGAAAGATAGCGGACATTATTCCATAATATCTCTCCTTAGGAGAATATGTTATCTATCATCATGTCGAGAAGTCATTACCTACAACTTCTTAGAGTCATGTTCTGCATTTAAAAACATTGTTATAAATAATATACAACAAAAATATTAAACACTTATATTTACTTTGATTGCTGGTTTCTCAACTACACCTCTAAGAAGACACCCTACGTATTATGCATTTGTTTAATACTTAATCATTTATTTCAAAAACATTTTACGCAAATAGTTGGATCACATTCATATTTCAACATAATTATATAACAAAAAAAAAACCATTTCAGAATTCAAACAAGACAAATAATTTACCTACTAAGTTCACTTTTTGTATCGTAACTTAGGTATTTAATTGTTCCATTCAATATGATTTTGTTAATTAATTTTTATTATTCTTAACCTCAAAATCATTCCATTACACCTTTTGGTCCCCACTGTACCTAATGTTCTTATCCAACTTTATCAATTTGTTTGCGCGAATCACAACCGCAATAGCAAGAGGAAGCTATGCAGGAATACGAAATAGGAGGTGGTAGTCCAGTAGCGGAGTAGGGATATGGTAAATTATGACAACACAAAAAATTACTGCAAAAAGTTTTTAAAACTAAAGGCGGGTTTGTTATAGGTATTTGGTGTGACCTCTAGGAAAATTATTATGAAGACGCAATAAAGTGATAATTATTCACCCAGTCATCAAAAAAAAAATAAACTCTTTGAATGGATAAAACAGCGTGTAGATCCGCTTCACATAAATATTATATACTTTTCCCTTTTCCACAGACATAGATCAAATATATTGTTGTTTTTCGAAACTGTTATATGGTAGTTGCTTGTACCAAATTTTCGACAGAGGGGAAAAGAGCTTATGAGCTACGGCAATTTGATACAAAAATGTGCTGTGCAACATCCATACTCTATTCCTTCACATGTCCATATTTCTATAAAATTTCTTGCAGGCTCTGCATTTGTTAAGGCAAGTTCTCCTCTTTTGTATACAAAGTTATATCTACCAACATATTCACCTATAAAAAATGTTGCTCTAATTAATATTCCAATTTAAAAGTAGATTTGCACAATGGTTGCAAGACACACTGCCACAGTAAAGTTTTTGCTCCTAAAGTGGTGATATCTGTATAGCGCTATGAAAGAGAAGTGTAGGGGCATGTATTTGTGTGATTCTTCCCATACGATTCTGAAGTTGGCAACACGCTGTGTGCCACTTTCACATAATTGTTATTTCTCCTCTTTGTCAGTAAGTTGCAAAAATAAAAGTAAATTATAGAGGATAGTGGAATGCTTGTCGGGTTGGGTGGGTTTAAAGCCCGAGCAGTCGCGCGTAGTTTTTTTTATTTTATTTTGTTAATATTAAAGACCACGATAATGTGTAACCATTTATGAATATCAATTTTGTAATATATCTAGTTTTTCATCTCTCCCCAAATACATTCCCAAGGGATTCCTTTTGATACAGTCGATAGTCTCTCAGTATCATCCTTAAAGTTATATGTGCTAAAGAGCATTTTATTTCATTTTCAATAAAAAACGTTAACCAAACCAAAGCAATATTACCCTTCACAAATAAAAGACAATCAAAAGATTACGTACAAGAACTTGATTTCGATTAGTTTGTATGGTATTTATATGCTATAGTGATCCGATATTGAGTAGCTTCTTGTGGAAAAAAGAACGTAGAGATTAGTCGAAATTAGAAAATTATTATTTTAATATATTATTATCTATAATCTTATACCTTCGATCATTACCCGACAAATATGTATATTTAAGAAGGTGTTGCAAAAATTTAAAGTCAATCGGTCCAACCATTTCGATGAAACTCTCCTCACCGACTCCGAAAAACGCGTATAAAGTTTTGGAAGCCGATTATACTAATTTAAAAAATTTTTGCAAATACGCTCTTATCTCGGAAACTATTTTGTTGATGAACTTCAAAATTTCGAAAGATATTTTCCAATATATGTATGTACAATCGATATATAGATAACCAAGTAAAATTGCATTTTTGAAGTGGTTGGTCGTAGAACACCGTAAATGTTTTCGAAACCGTTACATGATTTTACGGCGGTCAACAAGTTATTCATAAAGCGACTTATGTTGCCAGGATATCGTTTTCAGCGCAGATACTTTACCTTTGTAATATGGTATGATAGCCTAAATTGTTGTAATTAAGACTGTCGGCTGCATTAACCCCACTTTTAACTATGGCTCTATGAAATCATCTCGGAGTCTCGAAAATCAGAGGAAGATTCCATACATAGGGTACTGAAATAAAATTACCCAATATATTGTATTATTTAATATTCACTCACAATATTTATTTGATAGTTATTTAATTTTATTTACAATTATTGTTGTAGCTGTTGACGCGCGTTGCAATCAGCTGTGGTCTATTGATTGTAATGAAATCAAATCATATGCTCACACCTTCCAATTACATCGACTGTCGCTAGCTGTCGTTGGCTGCGCTCGCGCTTATGGCGGCGTCCATTCTGTGGTTGCCCGAACTCACCAGAGCGTTACCAGCCGCGGTGTGACGCGCAACACCGGTGCATGTCCACTCATTGCCTGCCTGCCTTTACTACTTTACTATTTTCGAGCAAAAGCGCTTGGCAGTTACTTGTTCGCATTTATTTACAATTTTTTACAATACACTTTGCGGCTGTGGTTGTCATTTGTGGTTGTATGTATTACGTACATATAAATATTTTTGACTTTTTTGTTTGCTGTCGTTGATTATTTTTCCAACACGCACTGCGAATTTGCCATTATTTTTTTTCATTTCGATTTTGGTTGGGCTTTCTGCTTTCGCAAATTGAGCCAGACAAGTATTTGTAATGAATTCGAAACCACAATTTGAACACAATGACAGAGATTTATGGAGTAGATTGAATTAGAGCAGCGTTTTTGCTATACTGCATTTTAGTTTGGTTAGTTTAGTAGTTTTTTCTGTAAATATATGTGTGTGAGTAAGCATTGAAAATTCTTCAAGCATAGACCATAGAATATGCAATTTTAATTTGTAAAAATTTTATTGTAAATTATGTTCATACTTGACTCCCGTATCCTCGCGCTATCACTTCAACCTATGAACAAACCACTTCTATTTTCAGTTATTGTAGTTATAACATAAACTCTACAAGGTATTATTTATTAGAGTGGAAATCTATGCCATGGATATTTTAATATTGTCAATTTAGAGTCATAGAATTTGATATAATCAAGCGCATTAATATGAAATTCCAACCCCTATATGCAATAAATAATACTGGTAAACAAAATTAAACTTTTTTTTTGATTACGTTTTATAAGGAAAAGCCTATTTGGAATATTTGGGGAAGCCATTACAAGTGTTTAGTATGCCTTGGATCCCAAATTTTGTATGTTAGTAGGTTTTTTTGGGTCAGCAAGGAGGATATACCAAATACCCCTGTTTCATGTGATTATGGGATAGCCGAGCCAAGACAGAACACTGGACTAGAAAAGTTTGAGTTTTGAGAGTGAATTTAGTATCGGGTAGTATGAATGTGATGAATGGCCATGTATTAGCTAGAGACCGCATTATATAATATAATATAATATTATCTCCTCTTCAAATAAAATTAGGTAGTTAGAAGAGTGCTTTTATCAGGAAATTCGCGCTATGGAACAGCGATACCAGGGTCCTTGGAATGTAAATTGGGTAGCTGGTACCTGCTGGATAATTCGAAATAATACTTTCTACTAATGCAAGAAAAGTGATTATATTATATTTAATCTATTCTAAATTGTCCTCATTGCTGATTTATAAAACAGCTGCTTTTGACTTGGCGATCGAAGCTGTACCATTTTTCTCGCTACAACTCTAGCCACATTCCACATTACTCACCTTTTTTTTTGATACTATATTGTGCTATTTTCTCTTATTTACTTGGCATTGCTTTACTTTTTTACTTTTTATTTTATTTGTTTGTTTAATTTTTTTCCCTTTGGCAGTTTGTGGTGTCTAAATCAGCTGTGATAATGTGATAACTTTTCCTACTGACAAACAGATGGCGCTGAATCAGAGTCTCAATCTTCTCTTTGACGAGATTAACTAGTATCATTTTTGTAAGGCGCAATCTTGCTAAGTCTAGTAGATTAGTGAGATAATATACTCAATAGCCTAAATCTTGTGATTAAGTGTTGTTCTGAACATTGTATAAGTGAATGCGAGAGAGGCTTTTACTGAATCTTGAAAAATGTATATTAATTAATTCATATTTTTCCGGTTCCTAAGAATGCCGTGACGTCATGTTGTGTGTACGCAACTCTGGCGTATCGCTCGTAAATAGAATTGTTCAGGTCGAATGCAACAGAAGTAAATCAAATATAGCTTTTCCTTTTCTTTTTGTAAACGAATTTTTATATCGATCGATTTTTTATCGAAAAAGAATTTACGTTTGATAATTTTTAGTGTGCGATTGAAAATTTGTCTATCAAGCATGTGTATACATATGCAAGTGTATGTGGCAGTGTGTATTTTGTAGGAGGTGCAGATATGGAGAGGTAAAAGCCTAAGGATATACCTTCCGATTAAAAAAAAAATTATCGCGATACCTCACACACACGACACATAGAATATTTTGAAAAGTAACGTTGCGTATACGCAACAAAGGAAGGAAATGGGTTAAGTCAATATTTTTTCCACATTTGTTACTCGAAATAATGCGATCTGACAAAAAATACCATTACGACAATTTTTTAAAACTCAAATATGTATATAACTATATGTTCTGCTTTGCGCTAACATTCAAATTACAATGTGAATAACACCACTTATTCTCTCACTGTTTTTCTCTTTTTTCTTTCAGTTCCCTAAATTGCTACAACACACAATAGAATTTGTTTGTGTTTACTCTTGTATTTTCGGTATTGCAGTTAAAGAACACTCTTTCATCGCGTTGTCATTGTAAATTTTCGCGCTCTCAGAGCACTGCTGTCAGCAGCGGTGGAGATCAATGGCAAAAAAAAATATAAGAATTCGAATAGAATAGTGAAAATTTAAGGAAGTGTAGGAAATAAGTGCTTAATCCAAAAATTTAAATAAAAATATATATAGGTATATAAGTTGTATTATGCGTGGTGTAAGAAAAAACTTGATAGGAAGTAAATCGGTTTTATAAAGGCTGATGGTGTTAATATTAAAAATAAGCAGCTCGTGAAAATATAATCGATTAAAGCTTGTAAAATGCGTAAAAGTTATAGCAGAAGTAATTTAATAAAATTTATAGGCGTGGATTTAGTGAATAAAAACAAAAGATATAAAGTTCATTGCTGGTTGAGACAAATATAGGTATAACACTATTTAGCGCTAAGTATCCATAATGAATGCTCATTTTGAAGGTATGTTTTTTAAAACAGCTTATATTATATAATGCAACTACATATTTTTTTTTAATAAGTATATGTGATTTATGCTTGTATATTGTAAGAATTTTTATTTTAATTTGATATATTATATTAAAGGATATTAAATATGAATATATTGAATACAGGCTTCACTATATAAATGTATTTTAGTGGTTTAAATAATGTAGAATATTTTAATTTTGGAATTATATCTCGTAGATTCAGATGTGCTTAATAATCAATTAATTTCATTTTAGTATGTGAATATTTTCACCATTTATATTTCTAACAGGGTATATTATAATAAGTTCGCCACGAAGTGTGACACCCAGAAGGACGATTCGGATACGGTATAAAAAGTACATTTCGTTTCTATGCTATAAAGACGTATTAAAGAAATATTAAAAAAATTTATTCCCATTCCGAAAGCGAATAATGACATTTCAAAACTCTATGGTAACTCTAGCAATTCTATAAAAATATTTTTTTTCTAACGGTACTTTTCCTACTATTGTAGGTATCAAGCGGAATACCCTGAAAACGGTGTTTCATTGCTATAAAGGCACTCATACCGATTAGTGCCATTTACACACATTTGAACAACTGCATACAATTGTGGATATTTGTTCGTTTGTGTATATATTTTCGTTGTAGCGTCCCGTGTTGCTCTGTTGTTTCCCTCTCATGGGTAGGTTTTCGGCAGGCAGGCAGGCTCCTTAGGGATTTGGGAATGCTTATTCCGAAACGGCATCTATTCACCTCGTCTCCGGAAATAGGAGAGCGAACCCCCCCTCTCCTGTCACTCTTGGTCTGGGGCTGTTTATTGGTTATTCATATCTAATCGTCTACAGTTCGCCAAACTGTAACCCTTGGTGCCCTGAGCTTAGTCGTGTGAAGGGTATTATATGAAGCTTCGTTGCAACCGGAATTTTTTTTTTACTTTATTTTATTTTTGACGACTATGATTTTAATTGTAAGGAAATATTTAATAACGTCTCAATTGATGTTTTTGTCAATGACAGGCGTATTGAAATAGATGAAAATGAAATATGTTTTTCAAGAAAATTGTTAAGCCATTGCAAGTTTTACTGTGACCTCGCTTGAAAATTTTCGACCAAACAATAAAATAGAAGATTGTAAGCCAGAGAAAATGTTAATAATGTAGATTTCTTTCCTTTGTCAAGCTTTTGAATACTGCAAATAATCCAATGTTGGAAGGGAAATAGAAAATCTTCTTCCACTGCATATTTGGTGTGTCGAAAATAACTACGAAGCCAATTGCCTTTGGCCTACAATTTATTATCAAAAGTGTTTGACTCTGCCCTTTTCTACCTTTGTGAGCCTGAGCAAAGCTGGAGCAATTTATTTTCAATCAAATCTGCTTATATTAGTGATTGTCTGATATGTATAAATGTGAGTGTGTGCAGGTATCGACTTTATTTTACAGTTTCTTGTATGCACTTCATTTAAAAACTGTGTAAGAGTGTTGTAAACGAATTACATACGAATTCCGTGCAATTCGGTTTCTTTAGAAGGACGTTCTTGCATAGGAGGAAGTAGTCACTTTATAATTTTGAATATCATCCTTTGCATTTTTGGCACTAATATATTCCACTTGAAAGTATGATTACTTATTGGAGCATTGCTGTTTCACTCTCTCGAGACAGTATTCAATTTTGACAAAAAACTATTCATAACAAATTTTACCCGGACTACACATTTGCACGTTTTAAAAAAAAGACCTTTATTATCCCCTTCAAAGTAGGCTCGTTGTGAACCAATACAAGCATGCCAATACTCCATACAGTTGTTATAAGTCTCTTCTGAGATGGCCTTAAGCGAATTTTGGGTTCTTCGGTTTCCGCTAATTTTTGAAGCGCCATTCATTAGATGATTAGACGATATCGATAATCGCATGAGGCTACTTTCTGATGACTTTACGACTTTCAATGAAGGTCTTCTGTGGCTGAAATACTTGTGTTCGTAATAAAGTGAACAAAATTTTAATGATTTCGTAGCCGTGATTCCATTGGAAAGCGAAACTTTCAAGCAAACCCGTTTAATTTTGTGTCCAACACACACTTATTGACATATGCGGATCAAATTTCACACATACATAAAAAAAGTAAAAATCCAGGGAAAAATAATTTTTATTCAGATGGTTATGCTCTCTTCTATTTTTGAAAACGTTATAAAATAGCAGTGGTCTTAAGAAAACAAATCAAAGCACATAAAAATATGGAACCAACAATATTGTGCAAGGTCTTACCAGTATCAATACAGTCCGTGAGAATAACAGTCGACAATTCACTATTTATCTGCTCACTATCTTTGGCGCTGCTCTCTTCTAAAAAAATATGGTATACATGTGGGGGCAACAGCACAGTTAACGATTTGCTATTGAAAGAACAACTTGAAATATAGTAAAGTAGGGTTACAATATATAAATTCACAATACTCCATTCAATGACAAATCAAAACGTTAGTGAGTTCATCGTCTTTAAAAGCCCAGGAATGAGGGTTACGCCAGACAACTTTGAAAGAAAACTCACAATGTATAGATTTTTTGTTTTCCGTTGTGTTTCGCAAAAGTTCTTAAATTTTCCTAATCGTTAGGAATTTTCTATTAAAACTCCGTCGAATTAGGAAAAGCAGGGGTTTTGCAGACGCTCTCTGATCATGTGACCTCGTTGTGGCCATCAGGCACTCGTCTGCGGAGTCTAAGTTAGTTTTTCTTATATAATTAGGTAAAATGATTTATTATAAAATATACAAACGCCTATTCACATACAACTAGCCTAGCTTTGCATGACAGTTTACACTGAAACAACGAAGCGCAGAAAACAAAGGATATGTCGTAATGAACGCTTTGCTTTCAGTGTTTCTATCTAATAAAAATGGTGATTGTTGTCTTTTCTGTCAAAATAAATGTCTGACGCAAAGCAAAGTAAAAGTTCTATGTGAATTGGCCATTTAACTTGCGCTTAATGACATATTATTTATTCATTCGGAGAGAAAAGGGTTTGGTTGTACACAATAACGTGAACTTGTGGGTGTTTTGTATTTTTCTCACCACGTATTATTTGACTGTGTTGAGTTCGTCATTCGCCAAAGCTGTTTTTTCAACATTATGATCATGTATAATTATACTGGTACATATTCGTCATGCGCCACAATTTGCCAATCACAGGGTGAGTCAGATTATTGATCATATATATTTTCTTAAAACATATAAGAAAAAACATAATTTTGAAAATTTTATTTAGGAACATAATTTATTTAATCACTTATCAAGCTATCTCTCCAACACTTCCTTTACTTACACTTGTACGTTAACCAGTTTTCACTAATCGAATAAACACAACCTAACATTTTTACTGCAATATTTCACTTGTAATTAATTCTTTATGCCCACTTTAATTTAATCGCTTCCATGCCTAGTAGCGCGCTCTTTGAGTCACACCTTCGTTAAAGCGACAAAGTCAAAGCTTGTTATCAAAGGGTAGTAGCTACATGCACTTTTCTATTGTTGTAGCCACCATTAATCTCTTTTATAAAACAAAAAAAAAAATGTCAAAGCAAAATTGCGGAAAGAAAAATGCATAAATAATAGAAAGTTGAAAGAAAGCAAATACGCAAAAGTTAACTGTGACAAGCTGCAGCAAAAGAAAAAATTTAAAAATAAAATAAAATCGCAAATCTACGCGCACAGCATCTGCTTTATTTCGCAGAGCACAATATACCCCTTCACCTTTGCCTTCGCACAAGCTTTTAACTTGACCAGTCAATCACTTAAGGTTCACAGCTTTCATTTATTTGCCTTCACACTGAGTCGTTATGCAAAATACGTTTTATGTTTTAACTTTTCTTCTTTCGTTGTTACCCTTTCTGTTTATCGCTCTGAGTTGGTTCGGCTACAATGTCAAATTAAATTAACATTGATAAAGGTCAAAAAAGCTCAAGATGAGCATCAACCTCTTTTGCTTACCTTGTACGATCCTAGTTTTCTTGCCCAATACATTTTACATAAAAACGGCACTTTTTTTTAATTTTTGTTGGCATATATCTCAATTACTATGCGTTTGATTCTTAGTAATTTTAACCTTGTAGGACCACTGCATTTATTCAGTGTACCTCAAATTAAGCTTAACTCAAATATAGAAGCTGTCGTTTGCCAAAATTTTACAAGTGAAAGCAATAACAATATTCTTCAGTTTTATTCAGAACTTGGAATTTTCGGCAAGTGCAGAAGGTTTTGCGAAACGTAAAAATTAAAATAAAACAAGTAAGGAAGGGCTAAGTTCGGATGTAACCGAACATTTTATACTCTCGCAAAGTCAAATGGTATACTCGTTTGAGATTTCTTTGTGGATTGGCTGATATTTTCGGTAGAAGGTCAGCTATAGGCACTGGGGTCCACATATTTAGTACTTAGGGGTTTGAACAGTTTTGGTTCGATTTAGACAATTTTTGGCCGCAGGGTGGCATACTTTAATTGCATTATTCACGCAAAGTTTTACCCCGATATAATCATTGTTACCTGATTTGCATAGTGGAAAGTGAAAGAATCAGATGGAATTGAAAATGGTGTTACATGGGAAGTAAGCGTGATTGTAGTCCGATTTCGCCCATTTTCGCACTATGACATAGAAACATGAAAAGAACGTTATGCACCGAATTTGGTTGAAATCGGTTGAGCAGATCTCAAGATATGGGTTTTCACCTAAAAGTGGGCTGTGCCACGCCCACTGACTAATTTTGAACGCGGTTCCTATAAAACCAATTTATACCATCTCAGAGATAAGATTTAATGTCTCTGGCGTGTTTAGTGCTTGATTTATCGCGCTTTTAGTAGTTTTTAACAGTACCGTTATATGGGGAGTGGACGGAGTTGCCACCCGATTTCAACTATTTTCACACCGTCAATAGAGGTGCTAAAAACATTTGCTTCTAGTGAATTTTGTTATTATAGCATTAGCGGTTTAGGAGATATGGACATTAAACCTATTAGAGGCGGGACCACGCCCACTTTTTAAAAAAAAGTTTTAACTGCAGATGCCCCTCCGTAATGTGATCCTGTGTACCAAATAACAGTCGTGTATCTTATTGCGGAGCTTAGTTATGGCAAGTTATTTGTTTTTGATTAATGGCGTTTTGTGGGCGTGGCAGTGGTCCGATTACGCCCATCTGCAATACCAACCGTCTCACGGTACCAAGAAACATGTCTACCAAGTTTCATAAAGATATCTCAATTTTTACTCAAGTTAGAGCTTGCACGGACGGACGGACGGACAGACGGACGGACGGACAGACAGTCACCCGGATTTCAACTCGTCTCTTCATCCTGATCATTTATATATATATAACCCTATATCTAACTCGATTAGTTTTAGGTGATACAAACAACCGTTAGGTGAACAAAACTATTATACTCTGTAGCAACAGGTTGCGAGAGTATAAAAAAAGCAAGAAACAACATTAACTTCGGCTGCACCGAAGCTATATTACCCTTCACAGATGCATATCTTATAGCTTAGAAGGGTATACAAACATCTTTAGACTGATTTTGATATAAGTTATAGTGGTGCGATCTGAACAATATGTTCGGAAATTGTAGTATTGCTTTGGATAATAATATCTGCCAATTTCTTGAATATACCTATACAGACGCCCAGGCAGAAGAATAGACGGACATGGCTAAATCGACTTAGCTCTTACATATCTTATATATATTCTTTATGGGGCCATCCAACGTTGCATTTGTGATTAGGACATGAATCGAAGTGATAATAAGATGTCCAACTTATTAGAGTGAGAGAGGCTTTTAAATTTCGAATTTTTATAACATTATAAAGAGTTGTCACACCAAGAAAATCTTAAGTTAGATTAGTACAGCCTTTGTCCATTTTTGCTGCGGAAATTTTAAAACGAGTTTGCTTGAAATTTCGGTTTTCTAATGGAATCACATATATTGCTAAAGTATTTTGGTAAGTCTACTTTCTCACGAACACAAGATTTTGAGTAGTATTTGCGTGTCAATCATCGAAGTCATCGAAGACTTGTCTCATGCGAGTCGTCCATCCAACTATCTTAATGACGATAACATCGAAAAAATTAAATAAACAGAGCTTGAAAATCATCTAGTTTGCATTAGAGTGATAGCAGAGTCCTATGGGTGACCTCAACACATTTTGGTTAATGTTTTGGGTATAAAATGTGTCAAAGCTAAACTTGTATCAAAAATCCTGAATGTGCCATTATATTTTTGCATGATTGTAACAGACTTTTTAACCAAACACAAAACGATAATCATCGCTCAGCCTTCGATGCCAAATATGACTACTAACATTGTAATTACTACTAACAAATAAACGAATACTTGCCAATCGATAACCGGTTAATTTTTTATCAATTTCCATCAGAAAGTAATCACGAAGCTGCCGCTTTTTTCTTCACCTTAAATTCACGTTTTCATTGCTTCTTATTGTTTAAATACAAGAATAACATTTTATTTATAATTATTTTGCGGTTGGAAAGGTTTCCGTTGAGATTTTATATTATTTTAGTATGATTTCACTGTTGTCACCCTGTTTTTTCGTTGTCAACTTTTAATGGCGTGTAAGTATATCTCTTTGTTTCTAACATACGTATATACGTATATATATATATATATATAATATATATCTATATATAACTATATAATATATATATATATATATATATATATAGTGTATATATATGTATATGTATATCTATTCATTCAAATGTTATATATATAGGATTTAAGAACTCAGCTCTCGATGTTAACCGAAAGTTATTTCAGCCAAATTATTGTATATGCATACATATATAGGTATTTACCTATGTACTTTCGTATTAAAATAAAACTCAAAACATGACTTATTTATGCATTTAATTCTCGCGTCATCACAATAAGAATACATAGTATCATTTGGCTGAAATAACTTTCGCTTAAAATCGTCAGATGAGTTCTTAAATGCTTTATCAGCATATTTATGTGCCAATACAATTTTGAATATTTATTAAGATATACATATCTGTATTTATTGTACATAGACATAAGAAGTTCTTTTATAATATCCTTGTCTTTGGTTTGGTTTCCTTCTGCGTACCTGATTATCAAAAGAAGCACCGATAACAATAACAAATAATATCCAAAGCAGAATAACACCGCCTTCATTTTGTTTCTCTTTCTCTTCAGTCATTTCTTTACTTTCAGATTCATATGTTTCTTTGACACTGCTCACATTGCTAATCGGTTTTTGAGAAAGTTCAGAATCATCCAGCGTAGATGATATGCCATAGCAGTGGCTGTTGGCTGTAAATATTTCTTTATCCACATATGTTTGACAGCTTTCTAGAATTATCTATTATGAAAATATGAATATCTTATTAAAGTAAATTTTTTGCACTTTTTTATACGAATTATACATTTTAATAAATATTATATAATATCCACCAAGTAGTTCTCCAAACTTACCTCGTTGAAGCTATTGCTTATGTACGAATATTTTTGTGCCTCAAAACAAATTTGAGGTTCACAAATATTTCCAATAATTATGGTGAATATTAAAATGGTAGACATTGTTCGCCAAAGATTATCCCTGTTGTTCGCTTTCGGCGCGCTAAGTTGCCAAGGATGACAAGTTGCACTGATCGACTGCAGTTATGAGCTCTTTTCTTGCAGTGACGAAAGCATTCAGCGTTTGTATCGTTTGCATATACATCCATACATATGTATTTACACATATATTGTTCTGTTTTCCTATTAACATACGTATATATGTATACTTAAGTTAATGCCCTGTGGGAACTTAGAAAGTTTAGGGAGCGGTTCTAAAGCATATAATTTAATTGGTAAAGTGGTTTAATTGGCGTTCTTCAGAAAAATGCAAGTATAGTAATTCAAATATTAATACAAATTTATGGTGATTTAGAGAACAAGTTATAACATGTACATCAACAATTTATAAAAATCGGTTTTTTTAGTTAAAATCTGGTAGTTTTTTTTACAAATACCCATATATACTTACTTACATATACATACTGATAACTCTTCAATATTAAAATACTGCAATACCAGCTGATACATATAACATTCCAATATACCTATATGTGCATACTTAATAATGGATTACAATGTATGATTCTGTTTATAATACAAATTCAATTATTTTTATTTATTTGCTCAAACGTGATTTTGCTTATCAGTTACAAAGTGCCTTGTTGGAAAAAGTAAAATAGCACTGTATACAAAATAATATATCAATGTATTCGCTAGAGCATTATTTTTTATTGGCTGATTCAATTAAGCCATATTTGTCAGTATGTCCGTCTGTCTGTATATTATAATTAATATAAATATTCTTATAATTTAAAAAATGTATAATTTAAAAACTCAGTCTCATGATCAACCAAACTCCCTCAACACTTACATATGTAAAAATAATCAGCTGAGATAATACTTCTTTTAAAAGAATATTGTTCAGTCAAAAACTCGTTACATGCTTCACATTAAAGTTTACTGCTTCCCGAAATTTTTGAAAGAGAAATAATTTCGTATAGAATCCACTATGTAATCATTCATACATTTTTTTGCATTTTTGAAAGAATTATCTATATGCATTTTCCAGCTGGGTGTCTAAAGAATCTACATACATATGCAGTCGCAAATGAACACTTCACTTGACTCTCGAGAGAACGGCTACCGTACGGTCTGTAGAAGCGGACATTGCGCTCTCATAAGATAGGTCATTCCAGCTGATCCAGTCTACGGTTTGCGTCGGTTTTCAACATAAGCTTGTACACAAATAGAATCGAATAGAGAGAATATATTTTGCAAAAAGTAAAAGTGAGTAAATGAGGAACTGAGGAACTGACCACATTGATAAATTAATAGGTGAAAACAAAAAGTACTACAGGAAATGTAGAACTAATTGCTGGTTCATTAAAAATTTAGTTGTTGTAATCAAGTAAGATCCATCTTAAATAAATATATACTGTTTTTTCCGAAATTCAATAAGCTTTCTAAATAATATATTTTAATGCTAGCGCACTTAGCGATTTAAATTTAATATCTACCACAAATGTTGCCAGTGGTTGAAGGTAGCAACAATACACTTATTTATAATTTTGCCAGTTTTATGTTTTTTTGTTGGAATTTTAATAAATGCCAGTGCCATTAAAGTCTGTGCTAAGCGTCTGTTCTAACTTAGTTTACGAGCATTTTGCATTTGTTTATTTTATAGCAGTTAATAACTGTATCAAATGAGCAACAGTGCTTCAAACAATTTTATGACCGATTATGAAATTTAACGATTTTTCCGCATTATTAAAGCAACAATTTCATTTAAAAGGTTTTTGTTGGCTTTTGTATTGGCGTGCGTTTGCCATGCTTTTATTGTCGCTTTGTGTTTTGTGACACTTTTCGAATTCTAGAAATAATTGAAAAACTCCTTCTGAATATCATTTTGTCTCCGTTGTTAAGTTTTTACGATATCAAGTCAGGCGGAGTACATTGTTTTTGTAATTTAAAATTAATTTAGAGAATTCATAATTTTCCTTTTTGGGAGTAAGATTTGAGAATATAACCGATATTTATATTTATATTATATTTATATTATATATTATTAGTAAATGTTTCAGGCTAAAATGCTGCAATATATAGCTTTATTTCTTCTTAACTCTAAAGTAGATATATACATATGTATAAATAATCAGATTGATGAGCTGATTCAATTTGGTCATATTTGTCTGTATGTCCGTCTGTCTGTATCTAAGTGAACTGGTATCTCAGTTTTTGATATATCGATTTTAAATTTTGCATATTTTCTCCCCAAGAAGCTGCTCATTTTTAAGAATCGCCACTATACAAACTGACCAAACGAAATCAAGTTCTTGTATGGAAAACTTTTTTATTTGTCTAGCTCCTTCATGATATCTTTGGTCTTGGACTAGGATGTTGCATGTTGAATTATCTATCGGCAGCAGACTGGTTACGACGCTCAAGTTTCCGGCTTTGCCAGTGAGGTGGGTATTTTAGAATGTATACAACAGCCTTAGAGCTACATATATAAACTTTTAGGAGATATTCATCATCTTAAATTATGCCAGTATTTTAAATTATGAGTTCCGAGATTTCTTGAAATGAATGATTTAATAAACTAAATAGATTCTTTATTAAGCCAAAACTCCTAAAAACTCCCAGCAGCAAGTCGGCTTAACACTTTGTAGGCAACTCTCAATAAAGAAGGAGGCTGTTTTGCAAACTTCCAGCAAAATCTTCAACGTAGAGCCGACTACCGAGAATTAAAAAAACATAAATGTTTCATTGGCACAGCGCTTTGATTGAAAGCACGTCCACTACAGCTCCGTTCGATTGATCACATGGACAAATGCAAACATCGTTTCGAAGCAAAAAAAAACCAAAACACATACATATGTACTGTGCCAAAGCCTTTGAAGAAGGCATTAACAAGTTTCTCTTTCTCTGCATGCGCACATACACTTAAAATAGTTTATGCCGCGGCCCGACAGCCAGGTACGTCACGCACATTCGCGCCTCCACAACGATAGCAACTTCATCAAAAAGTAGTTTTGCTTACTTTTCACACCAACTACAACTTGCTTTTACCACCTGCCTGCAATGATCGATTTTTAGTGCTCTGCACTCTACTTTACTACCGAGCATTGCTGTGTTGCATTGGCTAGAGTGAGGTGCCAGTGGTTGCCAGCTTTGCGAGCGGCTGCTTGGATAGAATTTTAATTTTGCACGAAACGAAATCACGTGAGTTGTGGACTTCTCTATTCGTAAATGTGTGTCGATGTAGTCGTGTGGGCGAGCGCTGTTGTGAAACTTGGTGCGAAACAGAGGCTTAAGGAACGTGTCAGTGAGTTGGAAATTTCGTTTTCACGTATTTGCAAGTTTGGCTGGCAGCTTTAGTGTTTACTCTGCTTTAGTTTCTTCTTTTTTTGGTTCACTCTGTTTTCTATGTCTATTTTGTGAATTAGTAAAGTTATATTTTTGTATTTGTACCGTTACGACTTTTTATTTAAAATTATATGTAGTTTTTATTGTAGACTTGAAATAATATCTTTGACACGGACCTAGAGGTCGAAGGACATATATTGGAACCTCAATCAGGATTTTATCCTCAATGCTTTAAAGCATGACTTATTCCAAAAATATAATATAAATATGTTTTCTGAGTATTTTTGAGTTTTTTTAAGATATTCGAAAGAACTGTATCCAACTTCTTTGCAAAAATTCGACAATTAGACTTTCTCGGCAATAAAGCCCAACTCAAGCTTCCTAGGTACACCTCCTTTTGGAGAATTTGGTTACATTGTGATTCGGCTTCACAGAGCGGTCTTCAGGATTTTAAAGAAAAAATATTATTCTTGCCGGAATTTAATTTTATTATTTAAAATGTTTGCTGTGAAGGACGATAAACCGTTTTGTTAGTGCGATCAGCCGTTGACCATCAATCCCGGCGAATGCCTCTTCCATGTTGTGAACTTTGTCACCAGCTAACATTCCTATGAGCCCCGAGAACCGGGAATTTTTCAACCGAATCGAACCAGAATCGAAATTGACCGATTGTGGAAGCGGCCGTGTTGGCGGAGTTCAGAAAACTGAACAAAGTCGGTCGAGGATTCGATTATTGTTTTCAGGAACTCACAGGAAAATCAAAGACCGATCCTGGAATCGTCTAGCGATCGTTGATTCGAGTATTGGTTTCAAAAATTCGCAGTAATATCAAAGGATCTACAATGCTACATGGGTCTTCTCCTTCCATGACGATCCTCAAAAATTGGTTTAAAGGGTTTCAACGTGGTCGCACGTGATTTTTTTTATGAGTCATTCCACGAAACCAAATACCGGGGGATAAAGAACCGCGATATTGTATTCCCACATCACCGATGAAAGGTGGACAGTAGGCGTCTTAAAAGACAGCGTAGGTCCTATGTGTAAACTCGAGTTGCGTTTGGTGCAACGTTTGCTCACTTTTAACAACAACAACGCTTGAACACTGCTGTGAAGTGTTTGACGGTGTTTAAGCAATCCGAAGGAGTTTCTGGGACGAACCTGTCCCTAAGAAGGTTAAGACCGTCTTATCGACTGGAAATGTGATTGTCTACATTTTATTGGATTCGATACCTGGAGAGAGTAAAACGGTCACTATTATTTGGGCTCATCTGAGAGGTGATTAATGAGTATGCGATCAATACTATAAGATTGAGTATTTGCATTTGTATTGGTGATGGTCTATACTCTTATCGTGAAACTACTGGAGAATATGCATCAATGATTGTCATACCCAAACATTCGTTTATTTCTTTAACTTAGGGTAAAGTTCAATTTTCCACTTCACCGCTATGAAAGTAATGTCCAACGCATGTCCCCCCTGTACTCATGCGCCCAGCGCAACCCCAACAGAGGATGCAACTTTTAAGTCAACCAAAAAACTATATGGAAATAAATGTAAAGCACATTACAACGAAATGAAAACTATTACCAATTGCCACCGCCACCAAGCGTGTGTCAATGTTGTCCGCACGAACATCACCACCTACGCAACAACACTACATATTTATCAACCGCATCTGCAGCTTAGAGACTTTAACAGCTGCTAAGCACCAGAACGCGGCGCGAGGCTCTGCCACGTCTGTTCTGTAATGCTGCTTTGTTGTTTGCTTGGCTTGTTCGCCGCTGCTGGGAATTTCCATATTTTCCACTCAAACAGCCGTTACTGTGGCAACAGTTGCATTTGCAGCTGCTGCAAGAAATTGCTTTTGAGATTTTTTGAATCATTGAAGCGCAAAGTAGCAGCTTTTTGCTACATCTTTTTATATATTATTCGTTTTTCTTTTTTGTTTTTGGATAAATTCCCTGTTTTCTTGCATATTTTCACTCTTCGCTTTGTGAATAGATTTTTTTGTTTTGTTCTCAACGATTTTCACTGTTTTTCTCATCTAGCGTTCTCTTTGGTTGTTTTGCCGTGTCTATAGGAATCTTTTTGTAGTCCCAAGTATGTAGGGGAAAATATTCTAAAGATTTTGTTTTTTCTTCCACTTTCAAAGCTGCATTTGAATTTGCTTTAACTCACCCACCCAAAGTGTTTGCATTTGCAATTTATTTCTTACGGAAAATTCCTATTGATTGTTGGGGCGAGCGATATAATAACAAGGTGTAAGGGTAATAATACAGGGTGTCAACAGAAAGAAAGAAATGTCAATAAATCGTTCACAAGTGTTTGTCTTACCAGAGGATAGGATGTAACATAGTTGGTGTGCTGTGAGGGAAAATGTTCGATTGTGAACGTTGTGAGATCACGTGATCTTTCAATCGACTAAGACGCTCGATTTCCTCCAGCTCTGCCAATTTGATATGAATTAGTATCGCTATATACTGATAAGAAAGTTTATTTTCTATCATTAGTCAATAAGATGATAAATTATTTTAATTTGTACTTCATGGTTTTAAATACTCAACTAGAGTACTTGAAAATAATGCATTACATGAAGAAGCAAAATCAGATTTAAATTTTTTTCTGATAGCCGTCGCCTATCAAATGGCAATACCAAATTTTTGCGCTCATCCTATTTAGTCCCCTTTAAATTTCAGTCGTCTAAAATTAGACAATTGATTACTTTATGAAATTGCTGACAGAGGAAGAACTAGGCCTTCTTATTAGAATACCGGTAGATATCACTTAGGTTCCATGATAAGAGGGTACATCAAGCCACGTGCGAGCATCTAAAGACTCCTGCATCCTGAATCCTGCATACTTTATATATAAAGAATACATTAGTAAAACGCATAGAGCATACATTTCAGTTGAAATTTAAGTTCTCAGTAGGTTTAATCTTCCAAAAAGTCTTCGACTATTAATAATTTGGAATTAGAACTGAGATCCCGCATTTGACTAGCACTCCATTGTACGGCAAAATATGAAAGGATAAACAAGTCAAAAAACATTATCTACGAGAGTTTTAAGAAATTATCGATTCAAAAGCCAATTTTACGGCCAAATTTGATACTGAACGAATTTTCAGAAAGGGAAACTAACTGGCATTTGATTACATACTTTTAATTTGCAACATTTTATTCGTTCAAACATAGTATTCTATAAGGGGGTACGACTGATGACTTCTGATGATCTCGATGTGGTTTGTCATAAATGATTGTCAGGCTTTACCTTCTCTAGAGTGGTATAAGGTGAATGTAACGGTTAACGATTATCAGTTGAGATACCTGCTGTCCTCATATTAACACCCAGCGTATTGGCTCATGATGCTCCCACCTCTATATACTCATATAGACATTATTTGGAAGCAATATATAATTTCTTCTATGCTGGAGTCACACACACAGAAGATAAAGATCCAAGATAGGCTCATACTTGAAAACAAGTGTTATCTATAACTTAGTACTCGTAGGTATTTAAATAGCAAAGTCTCGTTTCGATGAGTAGGACTAAGGCTTTTAAAGCATCCCAATATGACACTCTAAAGGATAAATGTAAGCGGCACCATTTGCTTTTGCGAGTCTTGCGAAAGTGAAAAGTTAAGTAAAAAATTGGTCAAACTATGATCACAACCGACATTGCTATCTCCTTTAAAGTCATAATTAATTTATCATAAATATTTGGAAACTTACTTAAGTATACCATATGTATATGTATCAGGGAGACTTACCATATAATCACCTATCGTTTTATGTTCTCAGCATTCGATTTTATTTATCAACATAGTTGAAATCGAGTGTAATACATCAATTATAGAGACCTCCCAACATTTTGATACCATTTCGGTAGTACAATTTGCCTTTAACTAAATAGAGTCAAGGTGGTTAGATCTTCAGTTGATTATTTTGATATCTAAAAAGAGAATATCATCTTTTTGTTTTCATCTCCCTGGATCAACTTTGCTTTACAGTCATCCAAAAAAATGTTGTGGATTATTTGATGTTTTCATCCGTAGCGGCCTCTTTTGGAGGCGTCACCTTTGTATAACCTTGACAAAATTTATAAAACCGCTTAGAAATGCTTGCCTTGCGGTATATCCCACTACACTACCACTATTACATAATTCACATTAAAAGGTTAGACTAGTCTAGCTTCATCCAAAAAGATCTAACTTAGACGATTTCTTCTGGGAGTAGGGAAAACGGCAAAGTTATTATACATGTTTTTGAGTGTGCGAAAAAAAATTTACATTATTGACATTTTGATACAAAATGGCGGCTACTTACCAGTTTACGGAATCAGCTTTTCAAGAGTGGCGAGATTGGCGACTGAGATACCAGGACCTTGCGATGTCTGAAGCAAAATATAAAACTAAATTTTAGTCTACATTACAAAACAACATAAAAATTACTAGTAAAGTAGTTAGCATGCTTTTCGAAAAATGGCGAACTTGTAAATAAAAGGTTAAATTTGTAACTGAGAAAATAATCAGTAAATTATTTATGAAGCAAGAAAAAAATTTAATATCCGCTGCAACTTAGCTATAATATACAATAATACCCTTCGCAGGTGTATTTTTATAGCAACTATATGTATAACTAGTGCTGAAAACGTAGCCGGCTAACGCTTATCACCCAACGGAAAACGTTTTGCAGTTCCTTCTAGCCATGTTGTTTGATATAAACAACTTTCAAGTCGAATTAAGGTTACTTAATAAAAGAAAAAGATCTACTAATAAGATCTTCACCTTGATTTTGTCGATCGATTTGTATGGCAGCTATATGCTACAGGGATTCGATCTGAACAATATTTTCGGAAATTGTAGCGGTGCTTGGCCAAATAAACTATGCCAAATTTTGTGAAGATATCTTGTCAAACAAAAAGGTTTAAAGGTTTCCATATAATAACTTGATCTGTCATTTTGTATAACAGCTATATACTATAGTGATATAGTTCCGACAACTGAGCAACTTTTTGAATCGAATCAACTGGTCCCTCTCATCATTTATGTATATACCATATATGATAGGGTGTCCTACGTTTCCTTCTGGGTGCAACAAGCTGCTTGGCAAACTATATATACCTTGTTCAAGTTATTTAGTTGCAATAATAGCAACTAAATCCAGGGCAGTTTACGTCGTTCAAGTGGATATGTGCGACAATATCCAAGTACCATCGTCGCTCGTCGATTTTAAAAATGCAGTTTTGAGAAAAATCTGTTTTACGTTCTTCCACACTATAGCGGTTTGGACAGAGAGATTTTTTTTCAGTATTCTATTGATTTAGTCATTTTTTTATGACACTAAAGTGTACATAAAGTCAAAAATTATTAGATTTTTGAAAATTCCTAGATCGAACTAGCCCTTTAAATGTTAATAAAGCTAGCTACTTTTTGAAATCTCATCATCGAGCGGCACTAATAGCTTAAAATTAATGTATTCTTTAAAATGCACCTTCATTTATTCATATCCAACTTCGACGCTGCTGAATATATTTATATATATATATATATATCGTATATGAACACCAAGCATATTTACATTGGCAATACTATAGGTGTCAGCTACGTGAAAGATTTCAAACTAAATACGCTGCCGAATTTCCACTAAACGTAAATTTACTCTTTCCCAGTGTTTGTGTGTGTGAGTATGCAAGACAGCTTTGTCATATTGATAAATGTCTATTTGCGTAAAGCCACAAGTATTTGCATACCGATGTGCTTGTCTACTCAATTCCATTACAGCCGAAATTGTAACCGAAGTCGCAGCGCCAAACATGCCGAAAGCAAAATCGAAACCGATTCGACGCACCCACGTACACATACACACACACTATTAGCATAAAGCTCGCTGGAAGCTATAACCAATCTTGCACTCACTCACGCCTCGACACCGTAACACAGCAAGCGT